ACTTTTGTTGTCCTCACGCAATCTACAAAACAACATGTCTTATATCGAAAAACCAATGTATATGTTTCTTAAAACGACAACCAATGCATATATATCATTTTAGTTCAAATGTTTCGTTTTTTTTTTTCTTTTCAAAACTATGGTGAAGTCAGATATACTTTATTATAGTAACTTAAATTTCAATAAAATGGAAGAATAGAAAATGGTAATTAGTGTAAAGATGTAATTAAATATCCGAAGTGTTGACAAAAATAAAAATAATAACGAAAGTGTACTTGATTATCCTAAGACATATATATACTTTAGGATTGTTATAAAAGGTTGGATATATATTTAATTAAGAAAATGATGATGATGATATGCCAAAAGAATTTATCTCCTTCCAATTGCATCAAGAGTCGTTTTCCACTTCCTTTTTTTTTTTCCTACTTAATTCATTCCTCTTGTACCCAATTTGCCTCTTGTCAACATATCTTTCTTTATTGTAGACATTAATTCTCGATTCTTTTTTCACATGTAAAGAAAAAGTGTTAATTCACGAGTCAAAACAAAAGTGTGAAATTTTATATGTTTGTTTGTTTATTTGCAGTGAGAGAAGCTTCGAGTAACATGTCAGGTCCGGGCCCAACATACGAGTACACAACTACGGCAACTGCTAATAGTGAAACGTCGTCGTTTAGTGGGGACCAACCTCGGAGAAGATACAGAGGAGTTAGACAAAGACCTTGGGGAAAATGGGCAGCTGAGATTCGAGATCCGTTCAAAGCAGCTAGAGTTTGGCTGGGTACGTTCGACAATGCTGAATCAGCAGCAAGAGCTTACGACGAAGCTGCACTTCGGTTTAGAGGCAACAAAGCCAAACTCAACTTCCCTGAAAACGTCAAACTCGTTAGACCTGCTTCAACCGAAGCACAACCTGTGCCCCAAACCGCTGCTCAAAGACCGACCCAGTTAAGGAACTCGGGTTCTACAACTACCCTTTTGCCGATACTACCTGCTTCAAATCAAACCGTTCATTCGCAGCCGCTGATGCAATCGTACAACTTGAGTTACTCTGAAATGGCTCGTCAACAACAACAGTTTCAGCAATATCATCAACAATCTATGGATTTATATGATCAAATGTCGTTTCCGTTGCGTTTCGGTCACACCGGAGATTCAATGATGCAATCTACGTCGTCATCATCATCTCATTCTCGTCCTCTGTTTTCCCCGGCTGCTGTTCAGCCGCCGCCAGAATCAGCTAGCGAAACCGGTTACCTCCAGGATATACAATGGCCATCAGACAAGACAAGTAATAACTACAATAATAGTCCATCCTCCTGATGACTTGCTTCATTTTTTTTTTATTTGTTTCACTATAGAGTAATAGGGGGAAAAAACGATTATATGTTATAGGGTTACTTTTCCCCAAATATTATAGGGTTTAGGTTTGTAATGTTTTGCTTTCATCCTCGCATGTGTTCTTTTAAAATTTTTTTATACTTTTGCATTATAATTTTGTTTCGTTGTAACAAACACTTAAAAGACGACAAGAAGAAAAAAAAAACGAATAGTTTTTGTTTATATAATCTTGCAAGGCTTCCTAAAGACCAAAGAAAAAAAACTCAAATGATGGGATGATGTAAGGACGAGAACCTGAACACCGGTGTGTGTGGGGCTAAACAGGCTTCTCAAGCTCTTAGTGCAGCTTTATGAACCATTGTTTCTTTGTGAATCTGGTGACAACTCTTTTCAACAAGATCCAAAAGCTTCTCCAAGTTTGTTGCCCATGAGTTGAGAATTTCGTTGCTGTCTTTAACAATCTGGAAGCAGATTATTCCGGATGGTCTGTCGATTTTTGCTATCAAGGCTTTGGACACAACCATTTCAGATAGATGCTTCTCTGCTTCCTAAAATAAAATGAATCAGTATAAAGAGATTTAAACATATACTGGTTACACTTAGATTGTTTCGAAACTATATTTTACCTCAGTGGTTAGGCATAAAAGTTCTGCAAGTCTCTTTAAGGTAATCCTTGAATAATACTTTGAGACGACGAGAATATTCTGCAGAAGATGTGAAAAATTTATAAAGCTAAGAGCAGTAACAATTTATGCAAACAAAGAGATGAAGGCAGATTAGAGCTCAAAGAGTCTTTACGTGTTCGATTATTCTTAGTTTGAGATCTTCACCAGCTTTGTCACCCAAAGAGCCTCCAATCATGTTTTTTTCACTCTCAAATTCGTCCTTGTATTTATTCCAGAGAGATGTCCACTGAATCACCTCCATTGTAACAATCTGTTTTAGAAGCATCCTGCAACATAATATAAACACAAGGATTGAGATTTTGTCTCAGATGGGGAAGAGGGAAAGAGAAGTGAAAACCAAATTTTTATCAAGACAAAGAGAATTACTTGAAATCAGGAATCTCTGATAATTTTTTATCTTCTAAGGTTGCATTAAGCAGGCTCGATTGCATCGGATCATGTGGTGCCAAGGCCAAAAACCAGCAGATCTTCCTCAGGACCTATGTTGAGAGGATCAAAAATAGAAAAGTTAATCAAAGCTTAATAAAGAACGTAGACTACCAGAGCATCCAAACAACGATATGAGACTTACTGGAATCCATTGTTCTGGGTTTTCCGTTACCGAAGGAATATCATATATCGCCTTGTAGCTACGGCATATCTCAATGTACTCATTGTTGTGAGAATAATACCTACACGATAGAATCAGCACATTATATGTTATTAATAAAGATCACACAACCACAGAAGTACCGGTATGTCGAAATTCAGAGGAGCATATTCAAACATTTTGTCATCAATATCTGGCGAAGAATGTATTAGACCAAAACAGGATCTTACCGAATCATGAGCTCATAGTAAATTCGCTTTAGCTCCAACAATGTTGGTATATCAGCTGGAGCCTCCTCTACCATGTTATCACCTTCCTTAGGTTTCTTTTTCTCTTTCTTGGTGTCTGCATCAAACACTCTTGGGTTGATCTTCCTAGATAAAATTTGTGCACGGACAAAATCTTGTCGATCCAAACACAAGCGGACCTTCAGAAGTTTACATCAACAACAATCAGCATCACAATATACAAAAACGAGAACGAATCTCAAGGAATATGAAAAGATAACAGAAGGTCTTACTTGTTCAAGGATGAAAGCAATTTTCTCAGTTTTTGCCATGGCACCAAATGTCTCCACCTGTAATTCATAATCATAATCAACATACATCGATTAACTAAAGAGAAACAATTTCCAAGAAAGTTGGAAACTAGAGGAAGAGAAGCTTACAGCAACTTCTTGCATAAGATCTGCAGCTTCAGCAATCAAACCTTGTTCTTCCTTAATCTTAGCAAGCTTCTTGGTCAAACGAGCTCTCTCGATTTCGACATATATCTACCCATGCACACACAAATTCATCAAGAAAAAACTTTCACGGAGTGATCAAAGATTCAAGCAAATATAACAACAACAATAGCTAGCTCTAATCCGAACCTTTCCAGCAGATACGTTGAGTAAGGTCTTAATAAGCTCAACCCGAGTCTCGATATCCGGTGTCTGATCAATATACTGCATTGCTTGTTGCACCATGGATTGTACAGCCTGCAAAATCAAGAGACGTTTCCACTTTAACATCTCCAGTTTCTTCAATTCCAAATCCTCAGAAACATTGAGAATTCAGTAGAGATCGTTCCTAGTAATCGAAAACCTTAAACTACCACATGCAGGATTCAAGCTAAATCTATCGGAAGTAGAGTGACCTGCTTAAGCTGGCCACGTTTCTTGGAGAGATTCAAAATCTGTTCGTTGAGAAGTTTCCAATCCTTAGCTTCGAAACAAAGCTTCAGAATCTCGGTAGCTGCTTTTCTAGTTCCGGCGACATTTTCCGCGAGCCTCATCTGCTTCTCTTCGTTCAGAAGCCTATCAATCGACGATTCGAGTTGTCTACTTTCTTCCTGCAATCAAAAGACGACAACGGATTTGACAACCGAATTCGAACGAAAGAGAAAATCAGATCTGTGAAATCGAAGACTTACCATTGCTAAACGCCGGGAATCAATACTCCGGCAGAGAAGAAGAATTGGTGAACCTTCCGGTGACGAAACAGATAAACTTCTAAAGGTTCACTGAGAGAGAAGGTAATCGTCGAAAGTCGAAAGTCGAAACCCCCCAACCCCTTGAACAAGAAAAGCTCAGACTCTGGGCCGAATTTACCGTTTTATTTATTGGGGACTTTTACGGAAATATTTGAAAAATATTGGTGTACATATGTAATAAACGTAGCTATTGAGTCTGTTGGGTAAATATGTAATATATTAAATTAATTTATACGAACGTGTGAGATAAACCTAGGGGGTACATAGGCAATAAACGAAAATAACAGGCACATCTGTAATAAACAAAACGATCGGGCATATATATGTAATTTAATATAAATAGCTATTGGGTAATATGTTATGAACAAAACTATTAGGTCCATATGGCCCATTTGAGTAAGTTATTTTTTTTAAAAGCCCATCACTCGAGCCTCGGCAACTCTTAACAATAACAGAGACAAGATTATTGTTTGTGGAACTACAAAATTTAGACGTTAGACCAATAATGAGTTTTAAGTTTTAAATGAAAGAAGTTTGGAGACTGAAAACCAATCGGGATTGTCGAAAACTGATCATCATTGATCTAGATCCCAAATATTTATTTGGTATTTTGCCTAATTTTTCCAAAGTCCTATTACTTTAAATGATAATCTATTTGATTATATTTTGGTATAAGCATATCTCTGATTAATTGAATTCCATTTAGAATATGTAATTTCTCGTTTATATTTTCTTAGCTATCTCCACAGCACCATCATGGGATGGGATCTTCCGTAGGTTCGAATTCGATGTAATCAGCAAATACTCTTTTGAACGGTGCATGTAATTTTATTTCTTGGAACTAATACAACTTAGCATTAAACTTAAAGGCTTAAAGAAGATATTTGTGGTTTTCTATATATATACAGTTATACACACATAGAGTAATATATTATTGACCTTTATTTCACAAACAGAAAACCATGATGCAATCCATACTCTACATAAAACACACACAAGCTATGATTATTATATAAAACGGTTTTTTCTCGAGATAAGACTGTACACATATGCATACATAGTCGTCTATATTTATATGTTCATATAAATAGTAGTTTACATTCTCACTTTTTTTTTTTTTTTTAAATATATAATACATTCTCACTTCTTCTTAGAGGCACTTCTTATAATTTACGTTTAGTAAAAGATAAAATCTCGGGATATCTTTGGATCTCAGGATATCTCACAAGAATTCGATAAGCTCTCATGTGTGTTTATTAGCGATTGTGTATTGGTCTTTTCTTGTTCGCAGAATTATAATCCATATCCACCAATCCATCAACATCACGTCCTCCACCTTCGTGCCTTATTTTCCGACTCTCTTGACCCTTCTCCACAACCAATAGCGTCCTATTCCTCACGATTTCTCGTAAGCTTCGTGCTAATGAAGAAGAAGACAAAAATACATCAAAAACTCATTACTTTGGTAATATAGTTTGTTATATAAAAAGAAGGTCCATTCAAGTTTTATTCTGTATCGATACTTCATATAACTATAAACATGTGATGTGTGTATATCAGCTGTAAAATTACCTTGAGTAGGAGAACAAATGAAGAGTATGAGAAGAAGTGCGGCGAGGAAAGACTTGTAGGAAACCCTAATTGCCATTTTTGGAAGAGACTTTTTTTTCTTTGGTTATATATCTATCTTTTTTGTTGAACCTTTTTGTGTTTATATATAGAGATGAATGATTCTATGATCAGTTTATGGTCCCAATTTTATATGAGAATTGAATAACGTTTTGGAAGTTATTGAGACAATTGGGCCTAAGGATTTGACGTCGATATTTCTCTGTCTTCCCACATTAACATGAATCTATCCCCACAAAATTAATTAATATTTCTTGTTTGCAAAGCAAATAAATGATGACAATTTGTGCAATCACGTCTTTTGAATGAGAAACAGAATTTCGGTTACAAAGTGCTTCATTTCACATTTGTACATAAACTTGTTTATGTAAGAAATTAAATGTAGAAACTTAAACCGAAACACATATACATGCATACCTTAGCCCAGTTTAGCAATGAAATTTGTCAGGAATTTTTTGATAATCAAAAGGTCGGACGAAATCACCTTTGAAATGTCTTTGCAGTTGATTTCTTGAAACTATCTCTTTAAGAACGTTTTTAGTCTCTTTCTCAACATTTTTCTTAGTATTCAAACTGTCAAAAATCTAACTTGATTCTATATTTTTTAAATACAAGAGGAAGAGGTAATGAGGTTAGGGGAGTTGGTGGGAGTAATAACTTTCCATAATTATCTATTAACCAAACCAGTTTAGATGTTGCCAAATCATGGGGGCACTACCAGCCGACCTTAAACCAACAGTTTAGTTTTATTTCTACATGATGTCTGAATTGATATAAACCATCCAGATTCTATAACCATATTTCACACTATAATGTTGTCTATCTCATATAGTGTGACAAAACTCAAGGAGATCATTGGAGATTGAGTGGTCCTTTGATCATGGAGATGGAGTTGTGGTCCTTCAAAAGAATATGATTTATCAGAACATTGAAAACAAATGATTAATACGCAAGTCAATTAATATGTATCACATATATTATTTTAATAACCTAAAATTTACATTCAATATTGTTCTACATACATATACATATTTTTATGTAGACAATTGTGGGCGAAGAGAGATACTCCCTCCGTTTCATATTAAGTGTCGTTTTAGACTTTGAATTTTGTTTTAAAATAAGTGTCATTTTATGTTTTTAATGCCGATATTTGATAAAATTTCCAGTTTTGTCTCTACTAATTTAATGTATTGACCAATGAAAAACTAACAAAATATATAAATAATGGATAAAACTGAAAATTTAATTGTTTTCTTAATATTTGTACAGAAACCTTAAAGGACACTTATTAAAAAACAGATGGAGTATTACATACTTCATATCGAATTGTAATAGATCATATTTATTAAAAGTTTGAAACCGTTTTATTCATTATTGGTTTTGGGATCGTTCATGAAAGGATATCTCAGTCTTTTTTTTTCCTTCTGATAAAGGGTTAGGATATTTCAGTTTTACAGGATTCGAATACAAATACAGGAATAGGCTTAGAAGAATTCACTTAGCCAAATCATGAATGTGATTCTCGTTGATAACATGAAATTTACTTGATCCTAAACCAAAATTTGGATTAAAAGTCTTAGTATATAAACTGGACCACAATAGTAGAATAGAGGATGTGATTATTGGAGTAGGGGTCGGGGACATGCTATAGAGAGTGCTTAAATATGGCAAAAAGGACGTAAAGTTTGTTGTGTCATGTGTTTCCCATTTAGCCATTCATTACTATAACTCAATTTCTTCACCTATAATTTCCGACAAGATTTGGTCTACTTTCTTTCTCCATTTATTCAAAATCAATCATCAAAAATTTAATAATTTTTTATTGATATTACTATTCCACGTGAATGAAATATGATTCACAATTTTATATTTCAGTCGTTAATATTTATTTGCTAGATCCAAATTCTAATATAGATGGGGCAATTATTAAAATCCTATAAATATTGAAGAAAATTGTCTTCTTCTTTTTTTTTTCTAAATTGACAAAACAGTATACATCCAAGTCCAAAACCCTATACTCTAAATTCAAATACGGCATTATATTTGAAGAAAATTGACAATTCTAGTAAAATAGTATTGTGAACCGATTTGATCGATAAGATTTATGGACTTTTGAACTTATATTATATTATGACCCGTTTTGATACCCCATTGAAATGTATATGGACCTATGACCTGAATCCTGAAATAATTATGTGTGGACCTAATTATTTATAAATTCTTTGTGACAAGTTGTTTCTAACACTTTTTAATTTTATTATAGCTATAGTTTATATGATTAGCTTACATGAGTTGATTAGACTTTTACGTTTCAGAAAACACCGTGGCAAAAAAATAAAAGGAAACAAAATTTGGAAAAATCTAGAAATCAGCCAAAATGTCATTGTGCCAAGAAGCAGTGACAATCTCCAGACAACAACCTTGATGAATGTCTTGTTAGTACAGATAACACCATGACCAAAAGAAGAAGAAAGTAAAGATTCTGTAACTTTTGTTTTTATCTGTCCATCGACGAGAAGTTTCTTCTGAGGATTTACATAAACCACGTAGCTCTTTGAAGATCAATATCAGGGCAATGTTTTTTGCAGACAAGTTGTATTGAAAGAGGGACCATGAGAGCACATGGAAGGTTTTGGCTTCGATTTTGATCATTAGTCTTTGTCTCTCTTTCATCACTGTTAACAAGTCTACATTTAAGTCTAGAGAGCTTTGGACAAGACATGAAATGATCATATCGCCTCTCGACAAAATCGCTATCAGAGAAATTGTCTATCGTAGGGGTCAATTCATATTCATCCAATTTCTTTGCAAGATTAGGAAAAAGTGTTTTGTGTATTACATGAGACAATACTTTACCACAGAAACAATTGAGACTTTACAATGGAATGATTTTGTTTTCATTTTTTGTTGGCAAATGAAATAAGATTTTTTCAGTAAGATAAGTCTTCACCTGTAGAGTTTGGATTGTGGTTATTACCAGACTCAGCCTCACACAAGTTGAATTCCTGAAGGGTTCTTCGAACCGGACTTGAGAGACCAGTTGGTTGAATCAAGACTTTCTCTTGGTTACAATCATAGTATTGTTGTGCTATGTGACTTGAAGGAACATGAGCTACTGAAGTATTTACGTTTGGTGGAGCGAATTGGTGGTGATGAAGCTCTTGCATGGGGAGTGGTATGGACGTCTCCTCAGGTTCATATTCAAGCGCATTCTGCATAAATGGTTTTAAAAGGTAAACACGAATAACTTTCGGATCAAACTAAAGATCTGCGTAGCTAGTCAAAAAGAAGGGAAGATTCAAGAGAGGTATAATCAATCTGAATTCCAATAACACTGCAGGGGATTAAAGCAAAGTCAGAGTATAAAGCATAATCACAAACCAGATACTGAATCAAAGAAAAGAACCTGCAAGTAGGTAGTAATATCAACTGTGGATACTCTAGTTCCTTGTTCTTCTTGTCTCACAATCCATTGGTAAAGTTTCTCCTGTAAACAAAAAAGAAAAAACCTAATTCATTCGATCAATCAAACCTCAAAATAGCATACTACAATGTCATGAAACACTATTGAATGACACCAAGAACGTTGAGCTACCACCTAAAGGGAACAACAATCCTAGTTCATCAATCTAGTCTTTCTACCTTAGCCTGAGTCAAAAAAACAAAAGTAGACTCTTCAAGATCAGAAGGCCAAAACTTTTATCAGTAAGACTGCTTGCTTAGCCTCATATATAAACTAGCTTGATCGATCATAACCAATTTAAGAGTGTCTCTCCAATCAACTCAAGTACGACAATCAATCGACCATAAAAAAACCAAAGACATCAACTTTACCAAAACAACACAAGAAACAAAATTGAATATCCATGATTCATTCTGTGACTCTAAAATCTCGAGATTAAATAGTAAAGTAATCAACTTTGTTTTCCCCTGAGAAGAATCAGACATCATCCAGTCCTATCTATCGAACCCAGAAACTAAAATCGAAACTTGATATAGAACATTAGAACAAGGTCAAGAAAGAGCAGAGACCATGCCGCGACGTTCACCGGCGATGAAAGAGACGTTTTGGTGATTCATGGCATGTGTATAGAGCTGAGAGAGCGAATTAGCAGCACCTCGAAACGCACCATACATGGTTCGATCAACCTCATCGAGCCGCGTGGCCTCGGATTTTCGCTTCTTCACCATTAGAATCCGAACGAATCACAAACCCTAAAATTGTCGAAGGTAATTTGTAAATTAGGGATTTTAGAAAGAAGAAGAAGGATTGTTGGTGAAGGGAAGAAGAAGAAAGACTTGTGGCATTTACTCTAGAGATTCTGCCACGTGGCTTTCATGCTACTCTATGGGTCCCATATACTTGGGTCCCACTTTTGGTCTTTCAGACAAAAATTTGGACCTTTTTTGTTTCTTCGGTCCATGAGCTTCTTCTACTACTGTCGAGCCAAACCTTTCATAATTTGTGGATCTTCAATGAAAATAATAGCTAACACTACATGAGATGAGGCTACATAAAAATTTAATGACTAGTACGAATAATTATCGTCATGTTTTAACTCTACTTTATAAGGTTTTTTGGCGATTGTGAAAGACACGATAAAAAATAGGGATGTAAAAAGTGGCGCGATAAGAGATGGAAGATTCATATTGAGCTTAACTTGTGAACATATAAGAATTTTTTTAATGTTGAATCAATTTGCAAATGTGTATTTTGTGCTTTACTCTTCTCTTTGAGTTATTTTGAATTCAAACCAATTTATGTACCAAAATCAATATTAAGAAACTGCTATCTCATTGTTTCATGGAAAGATTATTTTCTTTAGACAGCAATTCGACCAGTTATTAACAGCGATATACTCTCTTAACCAAAAAAAAAAAAACACTAACTGATTCCGAAAAAAAGCACACACCTTTATAACTTATGATTCTTTCTAAAAATAGAAATTTATTTTAAGCTTGATCTCTCACTAACAACCTAAAAACATTCCTATTACAACGACCACCCAACCCAAAGACACGAAAAAGAAATTCCCTGACTGGAAGAAGAAAAAACATCAATCAAACAAAAGAAAAGAAACAAGAAAACATAGCTTCGAGATCAAACAAGCCCTAATTTATCATTCATCGTCGCCTTCTCAATATGGCCGGAAGAGCAGCGATGCTCGTTAACGTCGGGACGGTTATAATGACCGTTTTGACCCTGGCTAGTTTGGTCGGAGGCTTCGGTGTCAATTGGGGCAATATCGCATCGCATCCGTTGAATCCCAACATTGTTGTTCAGATGCTCAAGGACAATAAGATCAATAAAGTGAAGCTTTTTGACGCTGATTCGTGGACGATGAATGCTTTGGCTGGTACGGGCATGGAGGTTATGGTTGGAATTCCTAATAACCTTCTTGAAACTCTCGCTGATGATTACGATAATGCTAAAGATTGGGTTAAAGAAAACGTGACCCAGTATATGCGTAAGGGGGGCGTCGACATCAAGTACCCTTCAAAACTTTTTCTCTTTTTTCGTTGTAAAGCATGTTTTTCGATAATTCTATCCGATCGACTACATTAACCGATTAATTGATCCATTTTGTTTTTGTGCCAATTTAAAATATTTAAATTGATAATACTCTTTGTAAATCATGTTTTTCTTGTTGTGTTATTTTTTAATACTCTTAGTTTCTTATAACAAATAATAAAATTTGATAATAATAAATAAATTAGACATTCTTTTAATTTCTAAACCGGTAAAAATTGCTGTTTTGGGTGTATATTTGACTAATAATTCATTCATATGTCTGCCATATATAGGTACGTAGCCGTGGGGAACGAGCCATTTTTGTCTGCATACAACGGATCGTTCTTGAAGACAACATTTCCAGCGCTAAAGAACATTCACAGGGCGTTAAAAGAAGCTGGACACACCGATAAGATGAAAGCCACGATCCCACAAAACGCAGAAGTTTACCAATCAGCAAACGACAAGCCATCAGAAGGTGATTTCCGCAAGGATGTGAAGCAAACGATGCTTGACATCGTCAATTTCTTCCACGATAATGACTTACCTTTCACCGTCAACATTTACCCTTTCCTTAGTCTTTACCTAAACGAGCATTTCCCCGTTGAATTTGCTTTTCTTGACGGTAATGGTCAGACAATGACTGATAAAGGAAAGAATTATGATAACGTGTTCGATGCCAATTACGACACACTCGTTTACGCGTTGAAGAAAGCTGGGATTCACGATATGAAGATTATCGTTGGAGAGGTAACGTGACAAGCAAGTTATTAATTAGATATATTTGTCAAGAATGTTATTGAATTTGGTTATATTTTTCTTTAGGTTGGATGGCCAACGGATGGTCACAAATATGCGACCCCAAAGCTAGCGGAGAAATTCTATGCAGGGCTTATGAAAAGACTTGCTAAGGACGGTGGGACTCCAACGAGGCCTGAAAGATTAGAGGTCTATCTCTTCGGTTTCCTCGACGAAGACATGAAGAGTATTCTTCCTGGGCCCTTTGAGAGACATTGGGGAATCTTTAGGTTCTAATGTTTTCGGAATTCCATCATTTTGATTTTTCTACTATATATTATTTATCTGACGTTCTCATTATATCCAATATTTGTCCAATAGATACGATGGGACACCGAAGTTTATGCTAGATTTCACCGGACAAGGACGCCAAATGGTGCCCGTTGCAGCTAAAGGTGTGCAATACTTGGAAAAACAATGGTGCGTAGTGAACAACGACACAGTAAATCTAGACGAAGTTGGTCCTGATCTAGACTATGCGTGTTACCACGGGGACTGCACCGCGATGGAGGCCGGGTCAACGTGTAGTAAGCTAACCAAAGTCCAAAACATATCATACGCATTTAACATGTATTTCCAGATACAAGACCAAGACGTTAGGGCTTGCGATTTCAAAGGAGCTGCAATGATCACCAAGGTCAATGCATCCGTGGGAAGTTGCTTGTTCCCTGTTCAGATTGTTAGTGGAAGTGATGATTTCAGGATCAACTTTGTGTTCGGAAGATTTGTCGTCTTTGGACTTGTTCTTCTTGGATTGCTCACGGTTATATAATTTGTTTTCTTTTTGCATTTTCAGAGGGATTTATTCTACACAATTGTTATTTGTTATTCGTTTTAATAACGTTTACTTTGAGTTAGTTCATTTATATGTGTTTTATTTTATAGATCAGTATAATCAAATTAATTATGCACTCATTTATAGAGTTGTTTTTCATTTATATTTCAGTTTTGAATTTTGTCTATGTTCATTATCATACATGTAAACTCAAGACTATTCAATTATATCATCATTTTTCAAACTTATAATAATAATTTATAATTAATATATTGCGGTTCCAGAGATACGTGAAATTTTGTTTATTTTAACAAAGATTTCATCTTATTTTCTACAATTCTTACAATTTGTAATGTTCTCAGTCAAAATCATTGTAATTTTTACACTCAATATGTTTCTAGATAAATTAAACATATATTTTTGCAGGGTTTGCGTCTCCCGGCTAATGAAAGACGTGGACATAACGATAAATGCAGTTGGTGAGAGTACTAAATGCTATTTCAAATTGAAGGATGTCTATATATGCCCCAGTGCTTTCATATCTCTTTCATGTTTACATAACCTGTGTTTGCATACGATACATGTTCACGTATTATTATTTCAAGCAATAACAAAAAGAAATCAAACTATCAATGTTATGCCAGTAGTAAATCTTTCAGGTGAAGGTACTGAGTTCGACGTCCGTTGAGAGGGATTTAGTCTAGTGTGGGTCCCGCTTCTAGGAGACTTAACTTAGAAAAATCAAAAAAAAAGAAAAATCAAACTATCTATTTTTTTTTTAACTAGATTAAACGTATTGGATGCGGTTAAGGATGTTGGAGTTTGTAAACAAAGAAGTAACTTAGAAGTTTATGCAGCTGCCTGTTATATACGATGATTGGTAAGAATGCATTTGTAGAACAATCCTGATAGCAAATACATAAAAAAATTTATATAAAGTATATAATCTATTTTTTCAATTAATATATACACAATTATTTATCATTGCTGTACGAAATGATCAATTATGATAATTGTGTAGTCATATCACTGCCAGATTTGAATGCTGCTCTGACCATTCTATTTCTTCTCTCCTTATTCCCCTTTGCCTCCTCCAACTTTTTTACTAAATTCCCTTAACTCTTAAGCTAAGAGAGAGAAGAAGAAGAAGAGTAATCGAGATTCGAGAGAGATTCAAAAATATTTTTTTTGCTATTTTGTTGATAATATATGTTAATTTTATATTCACGATATGCAATGAAACGAGATGTTGTAATCATTGTAATCTTTACACTGTTAGTTTTGATCATTATCTCCCGTTCAAGTTCGATCCAAGCTGGAAGATTCATGACTACAAGAAGAAAGCAAAATTCGAGCGTTGCTCGATCACTATACTACAAGAATCATCACAAGGTTATGATCACGGAGATGTCCAGTTTTAATAAAGTCAGACGAAGATCGTCTAAAGTTCGGAGAAAGATCGACGGCGACGAGGAAGAAGAAGAGAAGCGATCTATCCCCACAGGTCCAAATCCTTTGCACAACAAGTAGAGTAGCCATAGAGATGCAACATACTCGACTTCGTAAATTTGTTCGTTTGGTGTATAAATGTATAATTACGAGTTAGTTTGATCGTAAAGATTAATAGTCTTTTTAGGTTGGGTTGGAAAATCTAATATATGAGATAAATTTCGATTGTTTTCTACCATTTAAAATTTGTATGCTCAAAGTTGCTTGACCGATATGGCAAACAGAAATCATGGAGTTGAAAAAAAAATATCGATATAGAATAAACTGAGGAAAAGTGTTTTTGTAAATTTTCTATTGTCATTGTAATTTTTTAAAAATAAATGCAGTACTATTCTTTTTTTACGTACTAATACGGTATATTGTTGTAATGAACCTTAAGTAAATTAGATCACTGTAAATATAAAGATCAATTGTAAACTCTAACTTATAATTCAACTTTTGTTTTTGCTTTAGAACTTTCGTCTTAATTGGATTTCAAATAATATCAGTGTCATTGGTTGTTAACTAAAAGAAAGAAAATGCTTTTTTTTTTTGCTGATAGGTGGTAGGTGTTCATTAATAAATGTCCATATATCACTTTCAAAGCAATACACTAAAATATAGATATGTAATTATTTTCTATTTCTTCGGATTTTACCCCTATAAAAAGGGGTTCTCTCAATTAGAACCCCACACTAACACACTCCTTCACTTTTGACCAGCCGCCCTTCTCTTTCAGTCTTTCAGTTTACATTTTAGCCATTTTTTTATATATTTAAGAATCAATTATGGATTTGCCATTTTTTAGGATGGCATTTGTGGATTTTGTTTTTTTTTAATAGTTTATGGATTTTACCTTTTCTCAAGCTACAGAAATAAGATTTAACATGCGTTTTATTCGTTATGTTTGGGTTTAGTCGGTTGTGGTTGTTCTTAGGGTTTAGTATTTTGTATAAACTACGTATATTTACCAAAAAAATCCGAAATACGTACATTTTAAGTGTTAGAAAATAACATATCCGTAAAATTTTAGTAAAATGACAATTTCAAAATATTTCTATGAAAAATGGCAAAATCAACATATTTAATCTATTTTATTGTTTTTTTCTTCTTCTTAATTACTTCAATAAATCATAACTAAGCACTATCTGATTTCAAAATTCTTAACCATTTGTATGTAATCACTCAAAATAGGTGATATTTATATGATTCAGTCAGTCATATGTGTTAAAACAAAGCCACCCTACATGTTTCTGTTTTATTCCCTGTTAGTTAGTTTTTTATGTTTGTGTTAACACAATAAAGAGAGAATATTATTGTGGTTACAAAAAAAACAATTAAGAGTGGCACCAGGAAATTTCGTCTTACCTTTTAAGACAAGATTAAAAGACCACTTTAAATTGTTGACTTGCGAATAGACTTAGCAAAAAAATTTGGTCATATATGTTAATATGTGTGGGTCAGTGGGTGTAATTATTTTTACAAGATACTGTACATTGTAAATTTGCAATGTGCCAAAAATTCTGGAAGAAAGAAGGGTAATATTACTAACAAGCCAAATTTGACATAAATTAAGAAACTAGCAGAGAGAGAAATTTCTGTCGGAAAATAGCATGGACCCACTTGTCTGAAGAGGTGAAATAACAAAACCATCCTCCGTTTGTTTTGAGATCTACAGTAGGCGACATTGTTTTGTGATATTTTTCAAAATAGCACGTAAGATCTAAATTTCACATGTTATATTTAACTAAAAGACATGCTATTTAAAAAAACGTAGTGAATTTTTAAGAAAAAACATTGTTACGTAGTGTTTTTAAAAAAAAACATTGTTACGGAAAAATTAAACTTGAATAGAATCTTTTTATAAAGAAATAACATGTGATCTTAATAAAAACCGTGAATTACTAGAAAATAAGAATCGTTTTTTAAAGAAATCACATGTGATCATAATAAAAAACGTGTATTACTACAAAATAACATGATAGCGAAAGATATTAAACCGAATAGAGTGTTTTTTCAAAGAAATAACATGTGATCTTAATAAAAACCGTGAATTACTAGAAAATAAGAATCTTTTTTTAAAGAAATCACATGTGATCATAATAAAAATCGTGTATTACTATAAAATACCATGATAGAGAAATATATTAAACTGAATAGAGTGTTTTTTCAAAAAATATCATGTGCTCTTTATAAATAACGTGTAATATCGGAAAATAATATGATAAAAAGAGATATATTATTCTATCACATGTAATTCGAAAAAAAAACATATTATAAAGGGCATGTGTGTAATTACATGTGCTTTCCGACATTCAACAGACAAAGTACTGTAGCTCATGGCTATTTTCTTAATTCTTTTTGAATCTATGGCTAGTTACTATAAATTCACAAGAAAGAAAGATGACTAATATAGAAAAAAGCATATAATTTTTTGTCAACAATAAATTTAAGTATATATTATTTTAGATTTTGAAAACATATAAATCTAGTTATTTGATATTTTATTTATTTTATTTTAAGTGATATATAAGATTTTGCAAATAAATTAAGAAAACATATAAACTTCAACTAATTTATTTTGTTTACACAAGACATTAATAATTAAAGTTAATTTAACCAATAAAAAAATATTACATGATATAAATGGTCAAAAACTGAAACACAGTAATTTTTTTGCATAAAAACTTTAAAATATCACGTAAAATGAGATAGAAAAATCTTTTAAACATTAGCTAAAATGTAACGGAAAAAATATTCAATAAAATTAATTTTTGGTAAATCCGAATCAGATTAGAAAATATATAACTTTCGAAAACATATTGATCCATATGGGATTCACCGGACCAGCCGACCAGATATCAATTGTTTTATCTACTATACATTTTTGCAGCAGTTTTTGGGGTATCCAAATCGGGTCAAATTTATTTAATTTTGACCCGGAAATCTTCAATCGGATCTTTCCTTATTTTTGACAAAATTAAAAAACGAAAATTAATCAATAAAATCTAAAAAATATATATTTTCTCAACTAATTACTATACCTAAACTCTTTATTTATGGCATATTCTCTACAATTTTTATAGATATAGAAATCAAATATGATTATTTAATGCTAATATAACAAATTTGAACTAATTTCCTAAAACCTCTCTACCTAATTAAAACATAAATATATGATTCTCATTTCACTTTTATATGATCTTATATTTATATTATTTTGAACTATTATAAAATATATATACTTAATAAAAAAATTCGATTTTTTTCTGCATATGCTATGATTCAAATTTTTTAAAACGGACATATTACTCAATCGATGAAGAAAAAATATGTGTACAATCTATATTAACATTTTTGAAAAACAAATTTGCGCGTTTAATCAGGTCGTATTTTTTTTTTTACTCTGCCCGGAATTGAGTCATTCAGATATTTTCTTAATTTCTACAATGATCTAAAACGGGACAATATACCACGGTGAAATCTTAAAATTAACAAATCGAAATACAATTATTTAGTATTTTAATATACATTTTAAAAATATTTTTACGGGTTGGTCTAAAAACACACACTAATTTGAATATATATATATATATATATATATATATATATTATAGAAACTATTTGAAAGCAAACTTTTAAATTGACTCGAATTATATGTCTTTTAAATAAAAGTGTTATTAAAAGAAATAACAAAATGATGTTTAATTTTACGGGACATGATTATATGGTGGGACGGGTCGGATTTGGATTGATATTAATACGGGATAATATATCACGGGTGAAATCCTGGGATTAACAAATCAAAATACAATTATACAATTTTAAACACAAAACAAAACAAATACAACTTAAAATTTTCATTTTTAGTTACAACGCATGTGACTCGCAATGTACAACAAAAAATATTATATACAACAAATTCATCAGTTTATAAAAAGACAAAAAAAATCAAATAATTAACCCGCGGTGTACCGCGGGTAACAATCTAGTCTTTCTAGATAATTGTTAAGGATTTGGCAAATAAAGTTAGGCCGAAAAGAAAACGATAAAGTTTTGTGATAACATCTTTAATAGTAATAATTACATTTACAAAATTCAATAAGTCAAATCTTATTGTGTCTTGGTGTGCACTGTAAAGTACAAGAAGTCCTGTCTGCTTCAAACGCAGCATAAGCAAAGATACAACTTAAATCCTCAGCCGTTGATACGAAAAACAAAATCCAATTATCAGCGTACCTTTCGGCTTTCACTAATGTTAACATGGACCTTAACGTAGACGATAACGGCTCTTAAAATGGGCCCGTAAAGCCCAAGCAAAAACTAGTATTGTATTACTTTAAGTGGAAGCTCACTTTTCGCCACCCGGCCCACCCCCTTAACGTCTGGCCATACGTCATAATGATGACGTCATCATCATATTCTTTTCACACGTGGCCTTGAGGCACCTTCCTAGTATCTACCCTGAAATTGCTTGTCATAAGTAGTAATTGTTTAATAATCTTATCTCTTAATTATCCTCTTTCTTTACAAAAATTTTCGAACAATAATTTTAATTTTTATATAAATAAATGACCACCATTAACTCTTTCTCTTCTCGTCTTCACTTGCTCTATACTAGTTTCTTTAGAATTTAGATGCTTTAAGATCTATCTCTCTCTCTCAAAATTATTTTTTTCTATAGCAAAAAAAAAAAAAATGAATATCTCTCAAAACCCTAGCCCTAATTTCACGTACTGCTCGGATGAAAACTTTATCAATCCGTTTATGGATAACAATGATTTCTCAAATTTGATGTTCTTCGACGTCGATGAAGGAGTCAACAATGGATTAGTCGAGGAAGAGATTTCATCTCCGACAAGCATAGTTTCGTCGGAGACATTTACCGGTGAAAGCGGCGGATCCGGCAGCGCAACAACGTTGAGTAAAAAGGAATCAACGTGAGTTCCTTTTAATTATTATTGTTGGCAAGATTCTTAACCAAGCAATTAGTATTAATTATATATAGTTTTATTTATTATTTTTTTGATAATAAATATTGTAGTAATAGAGGAAGTAAAGAGAGTGATCAGACGAAGGAGACGGGTCATAGAGTTGCATTTAGAACGAGATCGAAGATTGATGTGATGGATGATGGTTTTAAATGGAGGAAGTATGGCAAGAAATCTGTCAAAAACAACATTAACAAGAGGTAACTAATTCATTTATAAATTACTCATTTCATCTCATTGTTGATTAGTATGTTTTATCAGTACTTACTTGTTTTTAAAATAACATATGGTTGCTTGAGAATTTTCTATATATGACCATCTAGTAATCCTGTTGTTATAGAATATATAGCCACTAGACCATATAGTGATTTGAATACTATTTAATGGACCCGTATTATCTACCGACACACTGGGAATAAAATTTAGCTACCATATACATCATGCATGTGATGTGTGTGTTTTTGTTTATAGAAATATATTAAAGGTCCATATTTAAAATTGATTGATTAGTGGTATATGGATCAATGAATCCATCATATAGATTTAGTTTGACTCATATTATAGAAGAATCAGATATAATGAAGTCATCATCTAAACATATAACTTTCAAATCATGGTTTGAAAGAAAATTACGCACTCTATAATGGGTTAATTTTCCAAATTCAAATGTAAGGAAAAATATCAGTATTTATCTTGGTGCGATATTTTGTAAAAGTGACTAAAGTTTAACACATGGTGAATGAATTTGTATATATAGGAATTACTACAAATGCTCAAGTGAAGGTTGCTCTGTGAAGAAGAGGGTAGAGAGAGATGGTGACGATGCAGCTTATGTAATTACAACATATGAAGGAGTCCATAACCATGAGAGCCCCTCTCATGTCTATTACAATGACATGGTTTTGTCTTATGATCATGATAACTGGAACCAACACTCTCTTCTTCGATCTTAATCCAAATCTCTCATCCTCCTTGAGATTGTAGGATACCAAATATTATAATCTCAAATTCTCAATGCTTTGTATAATTTTATAGGTGTATAATAAATAATAAAGGAGTTATTTTGTGGTTATAATTGTGTAATTTTTTATAATTGTGTAATTTATGTATATATATTGGCTACGAAAATGAAACATCTTCTAGGTCACTGACTCACTAGATATAAAATCTTGGCGTATAATTAAAAAAATAGTGTTGAATCTCTTTTTTTTTTTTCGATATCAGGGTAAATGGATACAAATCAAACCAAGTACATCTTGGATTTGTAACAACTGGTGTATTCAATTGGAATTACCCAAAATTGTATGGATAACAATGATTGATATGATAAAGATGTGAGGCGAGTAATTATTTAGAACTAAGTACATGTTTAGTTTGGTTTTAATAATTAATTTTTTTTTTTCTTTCTGGAAAGTAAGACCAGAGTAAAAAGCCTGTATGTATTGTCTGCTGTAGGCTGTGTAGCTTGTAAGCGTCAACGACGTCAACTGTTTCGATTTACCTTGTTATCGGTTATTTGGTTTATACTGAATAGATTTGATCGGTTTGATCTAAGATCCGGTTTTGGTGTTGCGTATACAGTAGTACCGAACCGATATCATCTTCTACCTTTCAACAACAAACTTAAGAAAGGAAAACGAAGTCGTTTCATATTTACGCTCTTCCGCCCCAAATCTGAAACACTCGTAAGTAAATTCGAAGGAATTTTGGATCTCTCTGATCTCGATCCAGATTCTCTCTACTTTGCTTATCTTCCAGAGAGAAATTTGCATCTTCAGATTTATTCGAGGAGGAAGACGAACCCTAATTGATTGATTTCGGTGGAGGAGAGATCTTTCTAAAGAAGTTTGATTCTGATCTGAAATCATAGGTTTCAGCCGTAGATCTGCTGCTTCTTTCGATCGATTTGGGAAATCTTTAATATTGATTCCATAGAATTTTCGTTAGTCTTGGTGTTCTGTTACTTCGGTAATGTTAGATCGTAAAAGTCTTCCATTGTGAGGAATCGGAAGTTGCTATGAGTGTTTGTGGAAGCTGTTTCTTCTCGTTTTGGATTGAAACAGTGTTAGTTTTCTTATTTGTTACCTAATCTGGTTTTTGGCAAATAATGAAGTTTTGGAGGGAACGTGAAAGGGACAATAAGGAGCAGATCTTAGCTCCATTATGTGGGCAAGTTCGAGTATTGGTTGTTGGTGACTCAGGTACTATGACAGGTTCTAGTTTCATGTCGATTGTTAGATTTGATTACCTATTTTATGGAACCAAAACCAAGTTAGAAATGAAACCATAGTTTTGTTGAATTGGGTTTTATAGGAGTTGCAGATTGATGCCCACTGATACTTCTACTACACCTAGATCATGTGTGACTCAGGAAGATAGATTCTCTGCATTGGATTGGACCATTTGATTAGGAGTTATGGTTCTGTGGTCGTTGAGCTATATCATTTAGATCGAACCTTAGAGTCTGTTACTGTGTTTTTTTTTGCTCATGAGTCATTTCATGCTCTGCATCATTGAGTTAATTTTCATCTCTGAATTTCGTTTCTTTTTGGTAGGTGTTGGAAAAACATCACTTGTACACCTCATCAACAAAGGTTCTTCTATTGTTCGCCCACCTCAAACTATTGGATGCACAGTTGGTGTCAAGGTAACTTAATCGTCTCAAATGTTCTCCAAATGGTTAGGGAACCCTTTTATATTCTCTTACTTTCTCACTGTTCAGCACATAACCTACGGGAGTCCAGCTAGTTCTTCAAGTAGCATTCAAGGTGACTCAGAGAGAGATTTCTTTGTTGAACTCTGGGATGTGTCTGGGCATGAGAGATACAAAGATTGCCGGTCACTGTTCTATTCACAAATCAATGGTCTCTCCCAACCTATCCACATTGTTGATCCTTATTGTGTCTGAAACAATGTCATAAGCGAGACATTTCCTATGCAGGAGTTATTTTTGTTCACGATCTATCTCAAAGAAGAACAAAAACAAGCTTGCAGAGATGGGCGTCTGAGGTTGCAGCGACTGGGACTTTTTCAGCTCCTCTTCCCTCGGGAGGTCCTGGTGGTCTTCCTGTTCCATACATTGTAGTTGGCAACAAAGCAGATATTGCTGCAAAAGAAGGAACAAAAGGAAGCAGTGGAAATCTTGTTGATGCAGCTCGTCATTGGGTTGAGAAGCAAGGTTTGCTTCCTTCTTCAAGTGAGGATCTTCCTCTCTTTGAAAGCTTTCCTGGTAATGGCGGTCTCATAGCGGTAAGTAAACCATATTAGTAAGTAATATTTTCTGTTATTAGTAATGGTGGTTGCTTTTGATGATTATATGATCTAACGTGGATTTTTGCATAGGCTGCCAAAGAAACCAGATACGATAAAGAAGCTTTGAACAAATTTTTCCGGATGGTTAGTGTCGTTAACACAACTTTTTTTTTTTTTGTTTTCTTGTCACATTGCCAAGATATCCGTCGCTAAACTGAGAAGAACATTTTGTGAACTGTTACAGTTAATAAGAAGAAGATATTTCTCAGATGAACTGCCAGCGGCTTCACCATGGTCTGTTTCATCCATTCCAACCTCATCATCCCAACGGTTAGACGAGATTACGAGTGATGATGATCAATTTTACAAGCGAACAAGGTAATAACAATGCTAAAGAAGCTAAGTTTTTTTTCCTTTTTTTGTTGGGTTTGGTCTTTTACGGTTGATTGTTGCAGTTTACATGGAGATCCATACAAGTACAACAACACATTACCGCCACTTCCAGCACAACGCAACCTAACTCCGCCTCCCACGCTCTATCCGCAACAACCTGTGTCTACCCCTGATAACTACGCCATCCCGAGATACTCTCTTTCCAGTGTACAAGAATCAACTAACAATGGCAGTGCCCGAGCTAAGCGAATGGATATTAACGTCTGAAGTCTCTCATCTCTTGTTTGCTCTTCTCATTCCAAGAAAACTTCATGTTATTGCTTTTGGATCTCTATTATTCTTTTTGATTCTTCTTTGTAGGTTGGTAAAGTGAATATGTGTGTAACCCCTCTTTGGTTTGTACATTGTGGGGTTTTGATCTTATAGCAAATTCTTTCAATGTTTTTTTTTTTTTGGTTATCATATGTATTACACAGTGAACGGTTACAAAATCACAATAATGTTTGTTATTTTTTTACAATCTAAGCATATCAGTTTGTAACATTGTATGATATTTATACCCAAATTTCATGTTTTAAGTTTCAAAACCTTCTTGCACATTACAATTACGATAAGATAAATTGGAATATTAATTAATTTGAAATAAAACTATTTAGTCCTTAGAATTTAATGGAGATAGAGAGTTACAGAGTTCAGTTCATAGCATCGAGAGAAGAAGGCAAAGGAAGGTATGTAACTTTTGTGCCCTCGTAGTTCCCATTTCCATGGAAACTTCTTCTCTGGATTCTGGGTTGCTACTATCAGCTGAAAAAAACCCTAATTTCTGTCTCTCTTTCTCGTCTTGCAAAAACCCTAATTTCTGTCTCTCTTTCTCATGTTTCAGTAACTTGTTTAGTCTGTACCTCTTTCTGTTCTTGAATTCTGCATTGATTTAGATTTCGATTTCAATTCAATTTCTGTTTCGGAATTGTTCAAAGTGAAAAAGTGGTTATTGGATTTCCTCAAAGGAAAGGTTGAATTTTTAGTTCAATTACGATGATATCAGGTTCTAATCTTCCCTAAAATGACAAGTTTTGTTTGTAATGCACAGTGTAAAATTCAAGTCTTTAAGAAAAAATGGTGGAGGTGTGGTGGTCACTGATAGGAGCAGCAGTGCCTGCACTGATTGCAGGTCAAGCTTGGAGGATAAAGAAGAGACATGGGGAAGAAGAGAGGATCAAGAGTGCTCGAGGCAGAGAGAAGAGCTCTGATGAAATCTTTGTCTGTGAAAGAGTTTGCACCTCTAAAAGAATGCTGAAAAAGGTTGGAGCTTTCTCTAAAGATCCCATCCCCGACACTTGTGTTACTGTCTGCGGTGTATCTGAGCTCGACGCTTGCTCTGATGCTTGTGCTCGAACTGTTTGCGTTAACCAGCATCAAGTTGCTAATTGGAATGACATTTGTCTCAGAAGATGTCAAAGTGAATGTCTTAAGCTCTCTTCTTCTTCTTCTCGCTCTTCATGAATTTGAAAGACTATGGTTTGTTGTTGTTATCTTTTGAAATGGAGATGGTATTTGAATCTGAAGTTTTCATTAGTTTATATAATAACATTATGAGCAAATTTGGTTGATGGTTACATTTCATCATGTGAGGTTTGTTTGGTAACTTTCTCAGCTGTTTTCTGAACTACTTCACCTACAACATCTCCTGCTAGTTTTGCAGACTCTTCAATAGCTTCTTTGCTTACTTCGAGACTCCTCGTCGCTGCTTCTTTCACTTTCTCTGCTTTATCTTCTTCCTCTCTGTTGTTTTTGTCGCTGTTGCTTCTGAAACTGTCACAAGAAAACAACACATGAGCTAAATAACCAGACATTAGCGAAATTCCAAGATTATAGGATATGAATGCATCTATGTTTACTCTAGATTTGGAGGGTAGAGCTTCATTTGGATCTTCTGCATTGCACCTTGAATCAATTCCCATGAACTCGGAGGAAATTTCTTGCCAAAAATCCCACATATGGTCTTTACAATCGACGGATTCTCTTCTTTTTTCGCGACACCATCACTTTCCGCTCCATCTGCAGATACCGCTAAAATCGCCCCAGAGATTAAGATGATGATGACGAAGAAGAATGAGAAACCAAATCTGATTCTTCTTGAGTCATTCATGTCTATCTATATATTAGTTAAGAAGTTTCAGAGAATCAAGAAGGGGGCCAAAAGAAAATGATAGAACAGAGAGAAGGGAGAAAGAGAGAGTTGGCGCCATGTTTCTCGCATCAAAAGAGGCAGAGCACATTTTTTGTTTGAACGGTTCTTGCATTTGACTTTTTAGAGAATTAAATCGAAAGAAATCCAATAAAAGCATCTGTCTTACAAATCTAACATTACGTTAAGACTAATCATTTTAAACGAAAAAAATGTAGTCTTTGTCTCGCATAAAAATGTATTTTTTAAGCAGCTCACTCTTCTTGAGGATCTCTGTCCTGAAACAATTGAAGAACATATTTTCATGCCGCATTTGACTTCTTGACCAAAATTTTTTTAGCTGTAATCACTTCAGCAACATCTTCTTAAGCAATCAAAAGATTCACCGGGGAAAAAATTTCATTTGAAGAAGCTAGCATGATCAAGATTCATCGGTTTCTCATACTGTACTGCTACACACTCCTCAGTTATAACCCAATCGCCATTCACAGCGTTTGCGCAGTTCTACAAATAGTTAACATTAAGCTATGCTTTTGAAGCTTTACTTGAGTCATTGGAATATGTGAGAAGATTTTATAGGAATAATACCTTGGAACAAGTGTAGACAATAAGTGTCATCCAATCCCAATTGTCCAATGATTGCTTAAGCCTTTCATCAACAACACCTTCATGTAGAAAATATATTAATGGAGGCATGAGTTGTATCTCAAAGTGCCTTGGAGAGTCGCAATTCCTGCAGTTATCGGGAGATTTCATGTCCTCAGTGGCCAGTATCGGCTTACCGCCATAAGAGTACCTGAACATTGCAAAAGTGACGTTTTGAAAATTAGACCAATGTTCAGTCCATTCAAGGAGATCTTGAAGATTGAAAGTAGAGAATTTCCACCATAGAATACAAGTGAATAACAATTACCTGAAACATTGTTCCGGGTTTGCATCTAGCCGTTTTTTGAACTTAAGATAAGTCCTATCTGCATTCAGGGCTCTGTCATATTCATATTTCTCATCCTCCCACGTTTCTTCGGATTCACTCTCATCATTGTTGCCGGTTTCTTTATCCTTGATGGACAAAGACGAGTAATTCATCGAGCATCGATCGACTTCTTTTGAGGGGATCTCTTCCTTTGTATAAATGTAGAAGCACGGAACCACCACTCCAGTCTCAACTTTAATTTGATCCGCAACTCTTGTTTCAGATTTTAAAGGTGAAGGCCTTGCTGTAGTCCCTGAACTAGCATTGCCATTTGGTTTACTCTTTTGTTTCTTCGAAATGGAAGCCGCAGCAGATGAAGCCTCTGCGAGCGCCTTAGCTAAACTCTCAAAATCAAAATCTTCATCATCATCATCATCGTCTAACCAATGAGTTTTAGAAGATGTATCTGGAGGCGAAGGGACAGGTAAATCCACCATTTCACTTGATTCTTTCTCTTTTTCTATAGCTTTCCAAACGCTAAAAGCTCTCCAGCTGGAACAGTAAGGAACAAATTTCACACCTTGATCATTCTCTCATATAAGTGACTGAGAGAGATCACAGAACCATAAAGAACAAAAAAGACAAAACCTTTGTTCAGAGGTTCCACATTTAGGCATCAAGCAACCGAATATATAGAGGGAACGCTCTTGGATGTCTGAAATTTCAATTGAGATTGGGGCATACACCTATTTGCAGAGAAGGAAAGAAACCGTAATTTATATAATCTTCAGGTTGTTAAACCCAAAAAGAGTGAAGCTTTGGATTTTGAACAAAAACCTGAGCTACGAGAGAAAGTTTACTTCCACATGAACAACAATTGAGTAGTTTTGGTTTCAGTGTATCATCGGGTATTGGTGGCCAATCCTAAAAGAACACTTGGGTCAACAATCAGAACGAAATAATTGAAATTTCTATGAAAAAGAGGAATGAACAACAGAGAGAGATAGGAAGGAGTTACTACCGGAAGACCGCCGATTTTTGTTGTGTAGTGATCAGAAGACTCAAGCTCGTCTTCTGCCCACTGCCCAGGTAACCCCAGAAGAATTCCGACCATGGTTACATACAGTTCTCCGATCAAAGTAGAACAGAGCTCTCCCTCTTAGGTGAAACGTTTTATCGAAGTCGAATGTTGATGATGAAGAGAAGAGTAGACCCCGGTTAGGGCTTTGAGATAACCGGCTTTTTTTCTTTCCCGGTTTCCCATCGAAGTAAATGGTTTAATTGAATTGAACGAATTCAGTTGAGCCAATAGGTTTTGCACTGAAATTCAATGGTTCGATTCGATTCATAAGAGAAAAACTTATCCCACTATAAGGCTACAAGAGATATGGATGGAACTTAACTGATAAACCTCTAATCCATTTTTGAGACAATAAAGTTTCTTAATGTAACCCAATGGGGCTCAAGCGTTGTGGAAACATTAATACTCTCTCTGCATTTCTAAAAGTATATCTATATACATTCCACATTTGTTAGACTCTGGAAGAAGCCCTTTTTTTATAAATCTTGACTCCTTTCAGTTATCAGTGTTTGTTCAGTTCCATCTCTTGGAGTTCTTGCTAGCCTTTGATTTCTGTTTAGCTTGTTGAAACGCTTGCATCTTCTGCTTCTTCCTCGCTTCTTTCTCAGCTTTCGACATCTTTGACTTTGCCTTCACTTTTGGTGCTTTCTCTTCTAGCTCTGCTTCTCTCTCTAGCTCCTTTGCTCTAGCATCCAGATTCTTCTCCAAGTAATACTGTCACATTCACACATTCCAAAAAGTTAGTTTATACCGAGATCAACTTATACTGGTTAAAAAGTAGCTGAGAGTGCAATCCGAAGTGTACATTGTAGTCGCCTGCATAATCTTCTAAACAACCATCTTCTACTTCTATCACTCTGTTAACGATTTGTTTGATAAAGTATCGATCGTGGGAGACCGCGATGACTGTACCTTGGTACTCGTTTATGGCTTCCTGATTCAATTAAACAAGAGAATTAGCCTATCTCCAGGTCCAAAAACAGAGTTATTATCATTGTATCCAACGATCTCAACAACTACTAACCTCGAGCATTTCTTTTGAAGGAATGTCTAAGTGATTAGTTGGTTCGTCCAGAACGAGTAAAGTTGATGGCGTCACCATGAATTTGCAGAAAGCAAGACGCGCTTTCTCACCACCGCTTAAAAGAGAGACCTTTCGATCAAGCATGTCTGCTTTGAAGTTGCAGCGTCCAAGAAGACCTTTTATATCATCACTTCTCCAGTCTTCTGCAGCTTCACAAACTGTTTCAAGCACTGTTTTATCCAAATCAAGGACCTCGGCCTAGCGGAAAAACAAACAAACAAAGGGTTGAAAACCAAATCATGTCAATAAAGTGAGCAAACCTGTCTCCAATTGTTTAGCTCTTTAATTGATTAAGCAAGTGAAAACTGACCTGATTCTGCTCAAAGTAGTTTGGCAGAACATTGTGCTCTCCAAGAATAACTTCACCTTTCATAGGCTTCTCTAAACCCATAATTAGCTTCAATAACGTACTTTTCCCACACCCATTCGGGCCAATAATGGCGATTTTCTCTCCTCTTTCTATTGCTAGATTAGCCTTCTTAAATAGCATCTGGTTTTCCAACAATACAGATTTTTTCACAGGTTAAACATGAGCAAATAAAGGATTTATCCTATTGTCATGAGTTTGACTCTAGTAACTCACCTTATCCTCGAAACCAAAATCAATGTTTTTAACATTGACTACCGATCTTCCACTTGTTCCACGCTCTGGAAACCTAATCTTCATCTGTTTCCGCTGAAATGGTTTTTCTATTAGCTCCTGTTCTTGAAGCTTCTCTAGTTTCTGTTATAAACCACACAAAAGAGAACATAAGCTTAAAACTTCTCAATCCAATAAACAGATAGAAGAGGAAGCCAGACTAGTGGCATAATTATTATGCTTAGGACACCGAAGAAACATTTCAATTATGTCACGCCGCAGCAATCATGGCAATGGTTCTACAAATTAGCATATTCTTTTTGTTTGCTAACCTTTTCTGCAGTAGAAGCACGACCAGAATTGGCACCAGCACCAAGCCTGGCGATCAAGTCCTTAGTTGAATCGATCTCTTTCTGTTGCTTTTCCCAAGCTGCATTCTGAGTTTCGATCCACTCTGCCTTTGAGATCACATACTGAGAATAATTACCCTCAAATGTCCTCGACACACCCATCTCAGTTTCCACAATTTTAGTACATAACTGATCAAGGAAGGCTCTGTCATGTGAAATTATAACCATAGGCACATCTTGCTTCTGCAAATAACCTTCAAGCCACTCAATAGTATCAAGATCCAAATGGTTGGTCGGCTCATCAAGTAGCAGCAAATCTGGATCCTACTCACAGAAAAATACACAATTTATTCACATTAGCTTTCAGTTCAAACTCATTGAAAAGGATAAAACTTTAAAGAATCAGATCATTCATATACCTGAAGCAAAATCTTTCCAAGTGACATTCTCATTTGCCATCCACCACTAAAGGAAGCCACAAGCCTATCAGCATCCTCTGAGGCAAACCCTAATTCCGGCATCAGCTTACTAATCTTAGCATCAACGGAATCTAAATTCACAGCCTGAGCTCGTCTCTGCAACAAATCAAATTCATCTAATAACCTTCCCATAAGGTCCAAATCATCAACAGATCCTTCAATAGCCTTCTGAACTTTCTCAAGCTTCTCAGTGATCTCCATCTCTTCCTTAAAAGCACTCATGAACTCTTCCCTCACCGTCTTACTCATCGAAACCTCAAATTCCTGGCTCAAGAAAGCTATTTTCATATTGGGTTTGGCCTTGATTACGTTACCTGAATCAGGCTCTTCCTGACCAGTGATAATCCTGAGCTGAGTCGTCTTCCCAGCTCCGTTCACTCCCACTAACCCTACTTTCTCACCCCTTTTCACTTCCCAGGTCACATCTTTAAGCACAGTCACGCCTTTGTAGCTCTTCCTTATGTTCTCTAGCTTCACACCTGAAGAAATCCCAGAAGCTCCGTTTTTGGAATTCTTACCGTTTCGTCTCCGGTCGGAGTCTTGTTCGGAGGTTGGTTTCGAGAAAAGCGATTCGATTTCGTCTTGACGCTCTTTAACGGAGGTCTCGAGGCTGATAGTGGAAACTTGGGCTCTGATGGTGGAGATTCCGCGTCTAGGGTTGGAAATGGAAGAGATTTTGATGAAATTGGAAGGGATTGGAGATGGACAAGGACGGAGACCGGTGAAGAAAGTTGAACGGAGGTCGAGGCTATGGAGATTCGTTGATAAGCCCATGTCGTAAGGATAGAGAGAATGGTGAGAGATGTTGAGCAATCTCTCGCGAGAGAATCTTCCTCTACCGAAGAAGAAGAAGAAGAAGCAGCAGAGAAAGAGAACTCTCGAGAGAAAAGCTTTGATAAGAGTTTCTCTCTTACGTTTTGAGTGTGAGCCACCAGATTTATTTCATTTATTTATTGGTTTGTATTTTCATTTTTATTTTTGTTATTTTTTCCTCTATATTTCAAATATCATTATCATAAATAAAATCAATAGAAGATAACAAAAAATTTGAATGACAACAAACTAAATGATATGATTAAAAATATTAAATAAAACAAATAGTTATACAATTTTAAATATATTTTTAAAAATTACATATAAATTTTTAAAAATATTTAAAATTTACATTTAAATTTGTGAAAAAAAAATCTGAAACATCTTATATAATAAAACAAGAGAAATATCAAATTAGTTAAAATCGAAATACGTAAGGAGCATGAACAATGTAGTATTTACAACAAAAATGTTTGGTGGTTAAAAAATATAAATTTCGCAATTTTTTGTAAGTATTAGTGGTAATTGTATTTCAAAATTTTATGAATGACAACCAAATGCATTCTATAAAAGTTTTTGCTATAATGCCACAAAAACTACAAATCGAAATATTCATTTTTATTATCTTTGAGTTCTCTGCCACATGCAATGATTGCAATGAATTACACAAGTCAATAAACGAGTATGAATGAGAAATATAACACAAAAACAAACGAAAGAATCTAGTTTTGTGGTGTGGAAGAAGATAACAATCCGGTGAAGTTACCTCTTTGTGGTTCACATAACTCCTTTGAAAAACAGACACTTCTCATATTCTGCCACGTGTCCAACTATATCATCAGCCACGTCAGTTTCTCTGTGGATCTCTTCACGCCACGTCGTCACGCAAGTTGTTTTTTTTTTCTCCTTTTTTCGGATATCAGTTTTTGTTGAAGTATTTTTTGTTTGTTCAGTTTTTTTGTTTGTCTGTTCAATTTATAATCTTTTATCAAAGATGCTTCATTCTTTTATTTAGTGTCCGGGTTTACTCAAAAGATTAGCTAGCAAAAGGATTTAATAGTTTGGTCGAAATATGATTAAACATGTATTTATATGTTAATCGCCTCCATGACTATAATTCGCATTTGTTATATTAGCCATAAAGTTGACGAAGCAAAGTCGTACTTATTTATAACTAATTGTAGACTTTCTTTTGTAGATGATATTAAGTGGATACAGAAATACAGATTTGCTAACATAGTCGGCTAGTTTTGATTTTCTTTAACAAAATACACAAAATGATGTGACTTTTTGTGGATGATTTGAGTACATACATATACACCACTAGAGTATTTTTAGGAAGAACCCAAAAATTGAAAATTAACTAATCAAATCGAAACAAATTTTGCTTAATCTATAAGGAAATTATCAGATTAAATTTAATAAATTAGTTGCCGGCCTTCAAATCTCTACCCGTAATCCATAACCTTGTTTATGTCATAAGTTCATAACAAATTCATAACTTAAGGTTAGACCAGTTATAAATCGACAGTACAAAACGACGTCGTTACAGGAAATGAGAGCAAAGCTGACGCGGATAAAGCGTGTGTGCGTGTCGGAACGAATGGCATTATCGTAATTAGTTCACGAAAGCTAACCTTTTCTCGGAAGCAAAAATACAAAATAAAATATTTTTTGATATGTTTGTGTACAGTGTAGTGGTATCATCGACCTGTTACTTTGCTGTATTAAATTTTGGTATACTTTTTCTTTAGCTTATATATATTGCTCTGTATCACCACCCATCTTCTTCCTAAGATCATCTCTAACTTTATA